GTGCTGCCAAGTCTCCAATGCTCGAACAAGTAAATATAGCTCCTTGTCATATGTCGGATAATTCAATGCTGCCCCACTCAACTTTTCGCTAAAGTAAGCAATAGGTCGCCTTTCCTGCATTAACACTGCTCCTATACCTATTCCTGATGCATCACACTCAACTTCGAATGTTTTATCAAAATTTGGTAATGCCAAAATAGGTGCTTTACATAGCTTATCCTTAATTGTGTTAAATGCAATTTCTTGAGATTCTCCCCAATGGAAACCTACACTCTTCTTTACTATTTCAATCAACGGTGTGATGATGGTGCTAAAATCTCTTACAAATCGCCTATAAAAACTAGTCAATCCATGAAAACTCCTAACTTCAATTATAGTCTTAGGTGTTGGCTATTCTTTTATAGCTTTTATCTTTTCTTCTTCGACTTCCACCCCGTTAGCACTAACCACAAATCCTAGAAAAACAACTCTATCCATGCAGAATGTGCACTTTTTGAAATTAGCATACAGTTGTTCCTTTTGCAACACAACAAGCACACAATTTAAATGTTCTAAATGCTCATCTAGGTTTTTGCTATAGATTAAGATGTCATCAAAATAAACTACAACAAATTTCCCAATAAAAGCATGCAAAACATGGTTTATTAAATGGATAAAAGTGCTCAGTGCATTAGTGAGTCCAAACGGCATAACTAACCATTCATACAATTCATACTTAGTCTTAAACGTCGTTTTCCATTCATCACCCTCCCACATACGAATTTGATGATACCCACTCTTAAGATCAATCTTACTAAAAATGCAAGCACCATGCAACTCATCAAATATATCATCTAGCCTAGGTATTGGGTGACGATACTTTATCGTGATATTGTTGATAGCTCGGCAATCCACGCACATTTTTCAAGTCTCGTCCTTCTTAGGCACCAGCAAAACAGGTACAACAAATGGACTCATGCTCTCCCTGACATAACCTTTGCTCATCAACTCCTCCACTTGCTTTTGAAGCTCCTTCGTCTCCTCGAGATTGCTTCGGTAAGCTGGTCGATTCGGTATGACAGCTCTGGGTACAAAGTCAATTCGGTGCTTGATGCCTCTGATTGGTGGTAATCCACTTGGCATCTCCTCAGGAAACACGTCGTCGAACTCCTGCAATAAAGACTTAACCAAACTAGGGAGGGATGTATTAGAATCCTCAAAATTGAGGAAGGACTCCTTGTACACTAACAATATCATTTGCCTATTATCGCTCATAGCCTTTTTCAACTCACTCTCTTTTGCATAGAAGTTGACCTTTGGCTTTTCTCTTCGCTCAGTTGACTCTTTTTCTCTCCTCTCAACTGACTCCTTTTCTCTCCGCTCATGTGGCTTCTCTCTCTTTTCTCCACTCTCAGCCACCTCACTATTTTCTCTCTTATTGATGGTTTCACTATTGCCTTTCCTTTTTTCCGACTCTCTTATTCTCTCGTCTTCCTCACCTTTCAGTTTGATTTGATCTCCATACACTTGTACCGGTGTTAATGGTGCAAGAGTAATAGTCTTCCTATCTTTGACAAAGTTATAACGATTCCTATATCCATCATGTGTGACCCTTCTATCATATTGCCATGGTCTTCCTAACAAGATATGACCCACATGCATAGGCATCACATCACATACTACTTTCTCACCATAACTCCCAATTGAGAAATTAATTAAAACTCTTCTATTCACCATAACTTCCCCACTTTCATTCAACCATTGCAACTTATAAGGCCTAGGGTGTCTTAACAATGCTAGTCCTAATTTCTCAACTAAAGTTGTGCTAGCTAAATTCGTGCAACTCCCACCATCAATAATCATACTACATACCTTATCGTTGACGTAACAATGTGTGTGGAATATATTTTTTCGCTGCTGCTCTGAATCATCCACTTTGACTTGAGTGTTAAGAGCTCTTCTTGACACCAACAGTTCCCCAACAGCAAACTCCAATTTTTCTTCTTCTTCAACGTCCTCCAATACAGGCATGTCCTCAAACTCTCCTTCACTTTCACTCACCACCTCTCCATTATCCAACAACACAATTACCCGTTTATTTGGGCATTGAGAAGTAATGTGCCCTGACCCCAAGCATCTGAAACACTTGATATCTCGATTCCTTGATGGTTGTGAATCTGTTTTAGGTGTTGTTTTGCTAGAACTTTCTTCTTTCCCTTTTTACCACTCATTCCTACCTTTAGGTACAACTTTATCAAATTTGTTGTTGTTGTTCCACCCTGGCTTCCAAGATGGATTAACACTTGAAGTTCCTAACGGCTGCCTAACTACCCCTTTCCTCTTCAATTGTCTCTCTACCTTCATAGCCACATGCAACATGTCTTCCAACTCCACAATGTTGCAACTCCACTACATTGGCAATTTTCCTATTCAACCCATTCAAGAATCGTGCCATGGTAGCCTGTCGATCCTCCACCACATTGGCCCTAATCATGAGTATTTCCATCTCTTTATGATAGTCCTCTACACTTTTCGACCCTTGATATAGACCCTGCAGTTTTTGATGGATCTCTCGATAATAGTGGCTAGGAACAAACCTCTTTCTCATCAATGACTTCAATTCCTCCCAAGTGCTGATTGGTCTTCCCCCACTCCTACGTTGTGAAGTAATCACTTGATCCCACCATGAAATTGCATAGTCACTGAACTCTAAAACTGCTAACTGCACATTTTTCTCCTCCGAGTAGTTATAACACTCGAAGATCATTTCAACCTTCCTTTCCCACTCCAGGTATGCCTTGGGATCACTCCTTCCTTTGAATGAAGGAACTGTCATTTTTATATTCCCACCAGGATTCATCTTTGTGTTTTGATAAGAACTATGATGAGAATTATACCTTTTATTGAATTTTGCAAACTCCTTTGTGTTATCTTTGTTCCAGCAACTTGAATCTGCTTCCCACGGCTGTCCAATTGTCCAACCTCCAATGAAATCCACATAGAGAATAGACTGCAACTGCTAGGGTTTTGCCTCTTGTGCCAGCAAGAATTATGAAAACAGTAAGGATCTAAAACCCTAGCCATGTATTTATATAAGCCCAAATGGGTTAGGCCCGGTCCGGTCTAATATTTAATTAATCTATTTAATTAAATTCGGTCCGTGAATTAATTAATCCAATTAATTAATTTCGGGCTATAAATAATCAATCCAATTAATTAATTTATCCAACGATTGTTAAATTAATTAATTGACAATTTGTAATCTTCCAATTCTCTTTGGTGTGCGACCCATTAGGTTCCTGACCACAATGCCTAACGACGTGAAATATTATTTTGATCTAATCAAAATTGATAAATTAAACACCCTTTTAATTTATCACAAATTCACACTCGTCATCCCAGATTGACATCTAGCAATATATCAGGGCAACACATGTGACGAAAAATGTCACGTGGTATGACAAAACCAAAACTGTTCGTTTACCATGAAACTATAATCCCTTTGTCAATATGATCCGATCAATTACGAGATATGGAAGTGTGTCAATCTCGATTATCGATCATATTTTTCATTCTACTATTAAGTCAATATGAGTCGAAAACTCCTTTTTGACTTATGTGTATACCTTGGCCAAGGATTCCGTTATTGACTTAATTGAACGAAATGCAGACCACAATCTCTTACTATCTAAGAGTGACGAATCCTCTATTGGTCATTCACAACTTTCATATGATTCTTGACATACCCGAACGATATCGTATTAGTGGCCCTTGGCAGAGCGACATCTAACACCGTCAAAGCATTACTGTCCTCATACAAGGCACTATGATGACCTCAAGTCATAGGACCAATTCCGCTACCGAACGTTATAGATTAACCACTGACACTCAGATAGTTATTCATTTGGAATCTCTTAGCGGGTCTCCAATGTTTTGTTCTATAACAAAACATCCACGTGTTCATCTAAGTGTCACCACACTTTATCTTGTAAGATCAGCTACTTACTTCACAAGTAAAAAATGCCACACGTGATGGTCTATCTGTAATAACGATATCCGTATCTCGTTATTACTTACGACCACGGATTATTCAAGATCTAATTATACATAATTTATATCTCACAATCACAACTCCTTGTGATTAACAAATCACTTAAACTTGGATCTTCGGACTCTATTATTTATCACAAAATTAATTTAAATAAATAATAGATCTTGCCAAAATTAAATACATTAAACATATTAAAAGTGTTTACAACCTAAATCGATTGGATCTAGGGCATAACACTTACAATAGTATGGTCTTACATAATGTTAGAAATGTTGTCTACAAGTGAAGTGGTAGTAGGTGTAGCGTTGTTGACTAGGAGTATGCTATAGACTTTTTGCGATGCATACGTATGTTCCAGCCGGGTATGTATTAATAAGAACAAAAATATATCTATAAAATGTTCAGCTTTCTTCGTCTTTGAATTAATATTCTAACAGTTGTATCAGAGCCTCATCAGATCTTTGAGGTAGAAGCAAAGTAATGAGATAGTATCTGGAGAGAAAACAAGTGAGGATACTTCCATCATAACCTTTCACCATATCAGCCGAGTGATTTAAGAGTAAGAGGGATGGCTTCAAGTGGTTTTTCAGCATCATTACCTTTTGTGTTCACAAGAGAAAATTATTTTTAGGCTGCAAAAATGAAGGCTTATGACCTGTGGAAAATCACAAAAACGGGTACTAAACCACCACCTCTCAGGGCAAATCCCACTATAGCTCAGCTAAAACAACATAATGAGGAGGTTGCAGAGAAGTTCAAGGCCCTTTCTTGCATCAAATTTATTGTTTCAGATGCAATCTTCACCAGGATTATCACTTGTGAGACAGCCAAGGAAGCCCGGGACAGATTTTAAGAAAATTTTAGAGGCAGTGCAAGAACAAGGCAGATGCAAGTTTTAAATTTGAGAAGGAAGTATGAAACCTTGAAGATGAAAGAGTCAAAAACTGTCAAAAAGTTTTCTGACTGACTGATGAAAGTGGTGAACCAGATAAGGCTATTGGGAGATGATTTACTTGATAAAAGAGTTGTGGAGAAGTTTTTGATTAGTTTGTCATAAAAATTTGAGGCAAAAATCTCATCTCTTGAAGACTCTAGAGATCTGTCCACTATAATTTTGTCTGAATTAGTGAATGCCTTGCAAGCTACTGAGCAGAGGAGGCTGATTAGGCAAGAAGAACAAATAAAATGAGCCTTCTTTATTAAGGGAAAATGTAAAGTTCAAGCAAGCTATAGAGTGAAGAAGCATCAATCTGAGAAGAAGAAGGTTGAAGGCAACAAAAATGCTGGTAAAATTGATGGCTATCCACCATGTCCTCACTGTTCAAAATGGTGTTGGTATAGACCAGGAGTTCAATGTAGAGCATGTAAGCAATTTGAGAATGTTCAAAAGGTGTGTAAAAACCTTAAGGAGAAACAACCTCAGCAACATGCACAGGCGGCTGAAAATCTGCAACAAGATCAGCAGGGAGAGCATCTATTCACAGCTACTAATCACAAAATGTATAGTGATATTGGAACATGGCTGCTAGATAGTGGATGCACACATCATATGGCTTCGGACTCCAGTATCTTTGTCGAATTGGACAACACATATAAATCAAAAGTGAAGATGGGCAATGGTGAAAATGTGAAAGTAGAAGAAATTGGTGTAATTGCTGTGCAAACTCCAATAGGTATTAAACACATTCCTGATGTTCTTTATGTACCAAACATAGACTAGAACTTAGTGATTGTAGGTCAGCTGGTTGAGAAAAATTATACATTGATAATCAAAGATAGTGGCTGCACTATATTGGATGGAAATGGAAATGAATTGATGACTGTTGAAATGAAACAAAGAAGTTTTCCTTTAGAACGGAAAAGAATGACCTCACATACATTTTCTAGCACTATTGTGGAATCCTCACTTTGGCATAAACGGTTTGGAAATGCAAATTTCACCTCACTCAAGCAATTAAACAAGCAGGAACTTTGTTGAAAATTTACCTAACATATGTGATGATGGTTGTGTTTGTGATGTTTGTCAACATGGAAAGCAAACTAAATTGCCATTTCCTAAAAATCAATCAAAAAGAGCAACAAATAAGCTGGAATTATCCATTCTGATGTATATGGTCCAATGAGAATACCAACTCTAAATGGCAGCAGGTATTTTGTGCTCTTTATTGATGACTTGACAAGGATGTGCTAGGTATTTTTCTAAAAATGAAGTATGAAATACCTGGTGTGTTTCAGAAGTTTAAAAATCTGGTGGAAAATGAGTGCAACTGCAAAATTAAAGCCATCAAGACAGACAATGGAACTGAATATAAGTGTGATCATTTTGACAAGTTCTGTGATGTTGTTGGGATCAAACATCAATTGACAAATCCATATGCACCTCAGCATAATGGAGTGTATGAGAGAAAAAAAGGACTGTGACGGAGATGGCCAGGTGTTTGATGCCTAAAAAGAATGTTCCAAAGGATTTTTGGGTTGAAGCTATGAATACAGCAACTTATCTTCTCAACAGATTACCTACAAAAGCTTTGAACAAGCTAACTTGTTTTGAAGCCTAGTATGGAGTCAAGCCAAATGTCTCACACTCGAAAGTGTTTGGGAGCATATGTTACACTCATATACCTGATGTCAAAAGAGATAAACTAAGTCAAAAAGCAGAGCTTGGCATTTTGGTTGGTTATTGAGATAATGCCAAAGGGTATAGAGTCTACAATCCTCAAACCAAAAAGATGATGTCCAGTAGGGATATTAAGGTATATAAAGAATCTTCATGGAATTGGGAAGCAAGTACCTTGGACAAATTTCAATTTCCAAGGCTGGTTCCACAAGAAAATGGAAGTATTGTCAATGAAGATGAACCAAAACCTGATAATGATTCTGATTCTGAAAATGTTGTGTTCAGAACTAGGCCACTTGCTGATATGAATGCAAGATGTAATTCAGTTGTGTTGGAGCCTTCAAACTTCTATGAAGTAGCAAATTCACAGGTTTGGATGGCTGCATTGAAGGAAGAGCTAAGTATGATAGAAAAGAATGAAACCTGGGTATTGTTTGATAGGCCAAAGGATAAAAATGTGATTGGAGTTAAATGGGTGTTTAAAACTAAGCTAAACTCTAATGGTTCAATCAACAAACTTAAAGCCAGGTTAGTTGTGAAAGGATATGCTTGGCAGTATGGCATTGATTTCATAGATACACTTGCTCTCATGACTAGGTATGAAACCATTAGATTGTTGTTTGCCATTCCTGCTGAAAGAAGTTGGAAAATATATCAATTGGATGTTAAATTAGCTTTCCTAAATGGACACTTAAATGAGGAAATTTTCATTGAACAATCAGAAGGTTTCTTTGTGATTGGAGAAGGAGATAAAGTGTATTTGTTGAAGAAGGCTTTTTATGGTTTGAAACAAGCTCCAAGGGCCTGGTATAGTAGGATTGGTGATCATTTGGGCAACCTTGATTTCATTAAAAGTATGAATGAGCAAACACTTTATATGAAGCAAGTGGAGGAAGAAATGATCATTATTTCCCTGTTTGTTGATGATCTCCTAATAATCGGTAGCAATTAGGCTTTGATTGACAAAGTGAAAGGTGAAATGAAGTAGGCATTTGATATGACAGATTTGGGGAAATGCAATATTTTCTTGGAATGGAAATAAATCAATCACAAGAAGGAATTTTTGTTTGCAAAGGAGGTATACTAAGGAAATTCTAAAGAAATTCAGCATGGATAATTTTAAATAGTAAGTACTCCATTTGTTCAAAACTTAAAGCTAGTGAAGGATAATAAAAGCAAGAAAACTGATGAGAAGGTCTATAGAAGTTTGGTGGGATTCTTGTTGTATTTATCTATCACAAGACCAGACATCACTTTTGCTGCAAATATACTTTCCAGATTTAGACAAGAGCCAAGTGAATTGCACTTCCAAGATGCAAAGAGAGTCTTAAAATACATCAAATGGGAATGCAGAGATGAGAATCTGGTTTAGGAGGTCAAAAACTTTGGATTTAAATGGTTATACTGATAGTAATTGGGCTGGATCTTTTGATGATATAAAAGTACCTCTGGATATGTATTTTATTAGGGGATCAAGTGTTGTTTGTTGGAACTCAATGAAGCAAAAAATGGTGGCACAATCAACAATAGAGGTAGAGTATATAGCTGCATTAGAAGCCACTAACCAAGCAATCTGGTTGAGGAAAGTACTGGAAGATCTTAACCACAAGCAAGCTAATGCAACTTTCATTTTCTATGACAATCAATCAACAATTTCTATGGTTAAGAATCCGGTGTGTCATGGAAGAACAAAGCACATCAAGATCAAGTATCATGCAATCAAGCAAGCAAAAGAAAATCATAAAGTGAAGCTAGTGAATTGCAATGCTGAAGATCAATATCCTGACATCCTTACCAAATCTTTGTCCAAATGAAGGTTTGAAATATTAAGGAAATGTCTTGGTGTTTCTAGCTAAAGTGTCAAGGAGGAGTATTGACATTAGTTTGACACTTTTGTTGATAAAAGTCTAGTGTTTTTTTGTTGAACTTATTTTTAGCTAAAGTTGAGGTCTCTAAGTGATTAAAGTCTGTCATAGTATGGTCTTGCATAATGTTAGAAATGCTGTCAACAAGCCCCCAGGGCACATCTCCAAGTGGTAAAAGGAAAGGGTGGAGAAATCCAGCTTTGCTTGAGGTTGCTGCATCAAGGGTTCGAATCTTGAAATATGGATTTGGCTCTTGGGGAAGTGCAACTGTACAAGCAGCCTTCCACCCTGTACCCTTGGAGGCATAACCTGCAATTTACCTCCCTCACGATGCTCTAGGACAGGGGTGGTGGGGGACCCTTAAGGTTAGGGTTTAACCTTTTTTTAGAAATGCTGTCAACAAGTGAAGTGGTAGTAGGTGAAGAGTTGTTGACTAGCAGTGTGTTAGAGATTTTTTGCAATGCATGCATATGTCCCAGCCGTGTATGTATTAATAAGAACAAAAATATATCTATAAAATATTCAACTTTCTTTCTCTTTAAATTAATATTCCAACAACTTTTCTACATTTTCATCTTTATCAATATTAAATTGATGGAGCTGAGAAACCTATGTAGTTCTTGTTAAAGAGAGCCCCTATTTTGTAATTTCTGGAAATTCTCAGGGAAACTTTGCAAGAGAAATATGGCGTGAAATAATAGAGGTAGGAATATAGGCTTTCATACTTGTCATGAATTCTGTTGTGGGGTTTATGCACATCAATGATTTTGTTGTGAGCAGACGACAACAAGTTACGGAGTACATGGTTGTTAGTTCATGATATCGGAGCCATCATTCGATCACGTTGCTCAATGAATATGGGTTATCGTTAGGCCATTGACCAATAATGCTAATGATAAAGAGAACAACTTTGGTGATGATCAAAAACATATTTTATTCATAAGTATGAAGAGTTATATTTTTTTAGGTACATAATAATAGGTATAGAGAATGTTTCCTATACTCTTTTTTAAGTTTAGATGCAACAATATTTGGTGAATGATTTTTATTTGTGTTTTGATGAAATATTTTGGATTCAATACTATATGTCTAAATTAATTAATTGCCTCTTTATATTATTATATTATTTTGAATTAGATTAAAAATATTACTACAATATAAATAAAAAATAAACATATAAAAATAATTTAATTTCTTCCTGTGAGTTCTTTCATATTAGCCTACAAGTATGTTTTCTCCATGAAAATATTTTTATAGAGAAAAATAAGGTTTAGCCCACAAAATGCTATGTACCATGTTACTACAAGTTTTTAATTGGAAAAATATCCATATCTTAGCTCACAAATGTTCATTCAATATGATAATTTTTTTGTAGGAAAAAAAATGATTTAGCCTACAATATAATTTATAGGGAAAAGTAAAACCTTTTTGTGGGCAAAAGTAACTTTAGAAGTCAAATGATTTTGTAGGGAAAAGACTTAAGGGATGAATTGTATTCGTCTTCAAAGGCTTTGTTGGGAAAAACTTTAGTCCACAAATTTAAAAATTTGTTGTCTTTTTACCTATCTCCTCGATGTTTGCCCACAAATATGCCTACTAATTTTTTTCGTCTGCAAATGTTTTTTTTCCCCACAAATATAAACATTTTCCCTACAAAGTTTTTCATCTGTAAATGTGTGTATATATATATATATATATATTTCCCCGCAAATACAAATATTTTTCTTTGTAGGGAAAACATAAAATTCTTGTAGTAATCTGGCATTAATGTTTCCGCCCTTCTAAGATCTTTCATTTCCATCAAAATTGTTACGCTATTGGAATTATCAACAGCTGAAGCGAGAATCTTAGATACACCAACAGTTAAAATCGGTTGACTTTATCTTTGTATCTACTGTAATCTGCATCAGCATTCAAGAAACGTCATCATAGGATATTAGCTACCATAGGAATGGCAAACTGAAATGGCACACATATTTGTGTGTTCCTTACTGTCATCTATATATCTAAAATCGATGAACATAAAAAATAATGATAATAAAAGGTTGAACCCCAACCTTGAAGACCCCCACCGCCCCGCCCTTGGAGCATTATGAGAGAGGTAAATCACGGGACGTGCCCCAACAGATCATGGAACAAGAGCTTGCCTATACACTGATGCCCACAAAAAGTCCAATTTCATATCTCAAAAATCAAACCCTCACACAACAGATGCCAACAAAACTAAAATTACCTCACTCTAGTCCTTTGCACCACTGAGCTATGCCTCGGGGGACAGATAAACATAACTTATATTTCAGGTATGAGTGTAGAATGCAGAAAAATTATGGTTGTACTAGCACCTCCTGACATGGGCTTGGGTTAAGACATGCTCACATTGGAAATTATCTCACCAATTTCAGTGACCTTAGACCAATGATTTGGTAATCCCAGATTTTTCTAAGGATTCATTTTCAAGTAATGACATGGCTACCTAAACTGATTCCTGAGTCTTAA